GTGTGTGTGTGTGTTGGAGAGAACCCAGGGCCCACCGTGGCTCTGGCCGACCCCCAGTCCCCGTCCCCCTGTGATCTCTTTGACCTTTAGCAATGCCGGCTTCGCCCCTCAGTTCTGCAGCTGGGCGCCTTCAAAGGAAGCGTGCTTTTCTGAGAAGCGGAGAGAGAGGCCCAGAAGGCTGGGCCAGGGGATGCGGCAGGGGGCCTCAGGGCTGCCAGGGCCCATCATTCCTCYGCTCCCCTCCTGCCGCTTCTCTCCCCAGTAACCTGGGGGCTGGCAGGCGCTGAATAGCCACCCGCTGGCTGACGSGCCCACCAGGCTGTTGGAACTTCCCAGGGAGAAGGTGAGCGCTGAGTGGCCTGGGGACAGTTCCACCCGCCCCTGTTCCCCCAGCTCCTCCGCCCCTGAGAGGCCTCCAAGGAGACAGGCCAGAGTGAGGCGGCAGCCCCTCTCCTCTTCCCCCCCAGTTGCCATCCCTACCCTCCTGGCTGTCCCCTCCCCCAAGGCAGGGCCAACTCTCTGCAAAGCCAGGTCCAGCTGGAGAGCCGGGGAGTGACCCGCTCCGCCAGGCCTGGCCGACGGAGGGTGCAGGCACGGCACAGCCCAGGGCCTGGTGGGCTCCCGGGGGCCTCCCCTGGACTGCTGAGGACACCTGCTCACCGAGCTCAGCCTTCTGAGGGCTGGCTCTGAGGTCAGTGCTTGGGGACCGCAGAGCAGGTCTGGGGAGGGAATGGGGGTGAGACCCCTGCTGGGGCGCCCTGGGGAGGATCTGAGGTGTGCTCAGGCCTCGGCAAGCCCTCTGGTTCTGCAGAGAGCAGACAGGGACAGTGAGGTTTTGAGGCCAAGGCCACAGAGGAGCCCTCTCTGCTCTTACAGGCCCTATTCTGTGAGACTCTGAAGGAAGGGAGAAGGTTCTAGAGTGAGTTTGCATGATGCAGCCGGAGTAGGACTTCAGTTAGAAGGGACAGCTTTCCCTGCATCCAAGACGGTCCCTGGCTTGACTTGGAGGGCCTCTTTCCTATGACCCAGCTGGCCCTTGCTGGCTGGTCAGCAGAGGGTGTGGAGAGAGCCTGGTGGCTGGACCCCCTCATGCTCTAGGGCACCACAGGAACGGCTCCGACGCTGACTACAACCCCAGTCTTGCTTTGATTGAAGCAGGCCTAAGGCCTGGAGCCTGGACCTCTGGGTGGCCTGCCGACTTCTCCCAATCTATCTGGAGGCCCTGGACGTCCGACACTAGCACTAGTAGAATCAAAGCTTCTTCCAGCTCAGACTCTCCTCTCCTTTCTCCAGCCCCCTCCCAGGCCAGCCTAGAGGGACAGCTGGGCCCGGAGGGAGACGGAGTGGGTCCACCCCACCCTCCTGCTGCTCAGACTCAAGGAAGGGCCAACCCGCACATAGTGCCCAGCCAGAGAGCCCTCCGGCTTGATGCCTGAAGGGCGGAGGCCCTGGGCAGCTAGACGGGCATCAGAGTTTCCAGGCGGGAGCTGGGAGGGGTCGTTTTCTGTCTGGAAGTGCCAGGAGGGGAGTGGAGGGGCCCGTGGGAAGTGGGGTGGGAGCTCTGGAAGCCCTCAGTCTGCTGGGCACAGGGAGCCAGAAGTTAGGTCCCGAAGCTACCGGTGAGTACCTGGGGTAGGACAGGGGCTCCAGGGCTGGAGGAYTGGGTGGCCATGCTCCCCTCCCCGCTGCCTGCCGTCAGGGATTCTCCATAGCTACACGCAGAACCTGGGCAGGACGAGTCTCTCCTGCTGGGTTTTGGTGCTGGAGAATTGTCTGTCTGTCTGTCTGGTTTCTCAACCTTTCCTTCTTTCTTTTTTGGGTTCTGGGGACTGAACCTAGGGGCACTCTACCACTGAGCTACATCCCCAGCCCTTTTTATTTTTTTGAGACAGGGTCTTGCTGAATTGCCAAGGTTGGCTGTGAACTTGTGATCCCCCTGCCTCAGCCTCCCCAGCAGCTGGGGTTGCAGGTGTGGGACACTGTGCCCAGCTGAAACTTGACTCTTGAGACCTGGGTCAGACTAAGCTGCCGTGGGGAAGAGGAAGCTCTGCTCTTCTTAGCCTCAGGAAAGACTCCAGGGTTGAACAGAAACAATCAGTCATATTAGACCCTCTTTTGGACATCCTGTCCTGTGTCTGTAGAATTCAGAGATCATAAATGCTGGCCCGTGAGCTGGATGGAGCCCATTGAGATTAGAATTGGCCAGTGGAGTGTTTCAAATATTGGAAAATCCATTTCAAAATGTTTGGAATCCAGTTTATTTGGCCTTTGTTGTCTCCCTCTTGCTTGTTTTCCTCCATGTTGCTTTAAACACATTGAATGAGTTGCCAACATTGAAACATCAGGAATATTTGTCTTAAAAAAAAAAATCCAGTTTCTGGCTTCCCTTGGGAAACTGGAAGAGCCCAGTACCTGGGGCCAGATCCAGGGAGCAGGACCATAGGCCYGGGCTGGGGGGCAGCCAGTGCTTCCAGGGAGCCTGCCCACCTGTCCTCCCTGTCCATGCCTTACCTGCCAGCAGGCTCTGGAGTCATTGTTATCTGCCACCCAGCCACAGGCAACCAAAAGCTCAGTCTCTGTATCTCCACAGACACCTGCAGGGTGCCGTCCTGGGATGACCTTGAACCCTAACAGGAAGGCCTGGAAGTGCATGAGCTCTGGGCAGGTCCGGCCCACCTGGCCAATTCCTTGTGGGCTTATTTCCTACCTGTTCCTAGAGCAGCTTCAGGGGGTGGGTTGGGGTCCCAAGGGGTGGGAAGGAGACGTGGCCAGGAGTCTGGGAACTTGGTTTTGGCCTTTGCTTAGCCACTGGCTCACAAAGTGACCCTGGGCTTGGCCTTCCCCTCTCCGGGCCTTAACTTCCCTACCTGTCATGGGAACAGGTTGGACTGCATCGGACGGCAGCCACGGGAACATTCACGGAGCCAGGCAGGTGTGCGCTGGACCTGAGGGTGCGTGGTGGGCTGGGCTCCCTGTCTAAAGTGGGCAGCTGCTGGTACCAGAAAGGCCCACGGCCCAGTGTGGCCAGTGGTGAATTTCTGGAGTTTTGAGAGGAGCCAGGCTTCCAGATGTTTACGGAACCTCTGTTTCTCTTTTTCTAAAATCACAGCTAAAGTTGCTGTCAAGACCTGGTGAAGCCTGGGGCCCCTCGTCTGCAGCACCAGGGCCCCTGCCAGCTAACTTATAACCTATGACTTGCCCTGGCCACAGGACAAGCTATTGATGGACTTGGTCTTTGATTCCAAACTTTCAGGTCTAAGACTCCGGCCATTCGTGAGAATTGGTTTCTAAATGCGAAAGGCATTACCCTCTGTCTCCTCCGTGACAGATGGGCAGGGGCGAGAGGGGAAGAGGCCCCAGTYCAGGTCCACTCCACCACTTACAAACTGGTGGGACAGGCCCGGGGCCTTGCCACCTCTCTGGGCCTCACTGTCCTAACCTATCACATGGCCATCACGCTACCTGGTTTCACCAGGCCCAGCCCCCATCGATGTCCCCAGATAAGTCTCTCCCTGCCCTGAGCCTTGGGTTCCGCTGACCTGTGCTGACCTTCAGTTCCTTTCTGTTGCAGGAGACATGAGCACAGAGGGCTCCAGTCTCTCCAGCCCCAGGGCCGCCAGACCCCAGGACGCCTTCACGGCTCCTGTCACCCCTGGGACTCTCACAGGGGTGACGGACCCCCTCCCTGTGCTCATCGCCCTGGCCTGCATCTTCCTCCTGCTGGCTTCTTGTCTACTGTTCCTGATCCTCTGCAGGCCGGCTGCTCTGGACCCCCGCCACCGCAGGGCCCGCGAGTGCATGCCCCACCACCCCGAGAGCCCCAGCGAGCCCCGGCTCCRGCTTTGGAAGCGCCTAGGCTCCCTGCGTCGCTCTCTGCACAGCTTCCGGAGGGGGTGGCTCACCGCCCCTCCACGGCCACTGCCAGGCCACGACAACACCCCGGGCTGTGACTGCACGGAATCGACCAAAATGTGACAGGCGTTTCCAAACAGATGCCCCCACTATCCTCCAGCCCCRGCAGATCCTCCCGCCTGGGACTTCTGGGACGGCAAGACAGCGGCCCAAGCCACCTGGGCCCTGTGCTCACCTCCAGGGCTGCCCTGGGYGCCCAGCCAGGGTCCTTTCTCAAAGGTGGTCCCTGAACAGCACCCTCTTTTCTGCGGACCTCTTGCTGCTCTTGCTAAAAGATCCCAGGATCAAGAGGTGAGCTCTCCTGGCCATCTGTGCCCTTGGCCTGAGGCTCTGGGGGTGCAACCCGGAACTCTCTAGGGTCCCTTTCTGGTAACCAGGCACCAACCACTCCTGGAAACAGCACCCCTGCCCCCCAAGAGGAAGTTTGCCCCTGATTTCAGGGCCAAACCTAGCTCAGCCTATACCCGGGCAGGGCCCTGTCCTACCACCTGCACCATCTCGGTGCCCAAGGCAAAGGGACCCAGGGACTCCTCGTCTTGGTTTCCTGCCCTGCCAGCATCTGCCTGCTGACCCGTGGACAGCCTCAGCCTCCTGGTGATCAGACGCCTGGGTGCTGGCTGGGGGCCCTGGACCCCTGTCTTAGCAGCCCACTCAGCTGCCCAGGCTGGAACTGACCAGGAAGGGGCCGGGATGGGTGAAGAGGTTCYTGCCAGAAGCCAGGAAGAGGCTTGTCAGAGTGCAAGGGGGCTGGCCACCGTCAGCAGCTCAAGGGATGCCACCCGGGCTCTGAAGACACCGAACACAGGGAGCCGCCTTCCCTCTGATATGATACCAGACCTCCAGGACAGCCGCAGGTCCTCGGGCCTGGACCACAAAGTCCGCTGTCCATGCACCTGGCTACTGACTGACCTGCCAAAGGAATCCCGCCCAGGATGTCCTTCTTAGAACCCCATGTCCTTGGCCTCTCTTCCCAAGGCCAATGCTAATCACTTTGGTTGGACATCAGATTTGGAGCCTGGGAAGAGGGGACCTAAAATGTCCAGCCCCTGTCCCAGAGTCAGCGGGCCAGGCCCCACCCACAGTGACCCACAGTGCGGCTGGCCAGGTCTCCTTGAGGACTGAGCTCTGACTGTGCCACTTCTCAGCTCTGATCCTTCACTGGGGCCCTAATGCCCACGGGCTGTGCCCACGCCACTGTGAGCAGAGGACTCTGGGAGCTGGCTCCAGTTCATCTTTTACCCTCATCTTGACCCGAGACCACCTGGCCTCTCCAACCGGGGCGTATGCTTCCCCCCGAGGCCTTCTGTGCAAGGCCTTTCTTAGTCCTCCAAGGGAGCTGCCCTCCTGCCTGGAGCTCCGTGCCCACCTGTCAGGGAGCCGAGAGCAGCCTCCTGTGGGCAACGGGTGGCAGTCTTGTCTGCACCTTCTCTTCTGCCAGCCTGGGAGCGCAGAGAGCCAGTCCTTGCTTTGACTCACCAGCTCTAGCGTGACCTCAAAGAGGGAGCCCAGCTTTGCAAAAACTCTTACCAGGGCCTGGGAGAAGGCACCCTAAGGCCCCGAACTTCTCCCTGCAAAGTGGGGGACATGGGGGAGCCCTATGTCACTCAAGAACTCTAGGGTGTCGGTCTGAGGACTGTTGTGTAGATAGAAACCAATTCTCGGGGCTGGGAAGTAAGGTAGGCCTCCCCCCACAGGGTCTTGTTCTTCTCTCCCTTCCTGCTTGGTCACCTCTTCCTGGTTCACTTCCCCCAGGGCCTCTCCGAGACACCCCGGGCTGACTCAGTAGTGGGTCCAGCACCCCCAGGGTCCCCTGGTCAGCAGGCTCTGCTCTTGTGTTCTCTTCCTGGGGGTCGGGGAGGTTGCCTGGAGGCCTGAGGGAGTATCCTGGGGTGGGAGGAGGCTCTCAAAGCTCTGGCTGTGCCCCTAAGTGGGCAGGCGGCAGGTCCTGGGAGGCCTCTCAGGTACCACCGGGGGAGGCTCACAGCTTCAGGTGCAGGGCTCTGCAAGTCTGCACCCGCTGAGGCCCGAGCAGGGAAATCCTTCTCCTTCCTCCTTCCAGAACCCGCCCCAGGCCTTGTAAGTCCCGGGGCTTCCTATCTCCCTGTTCCTTCGTCTCCTTTCCTGTCTCCTCCTGTCTCCTGCTCCTCGTGGGGGACCTGGGCACACTCCCAGCTCCCCCTTCCTCCCATCCCAGCACAGGAACCTGCCTGGCGGGCAGGCCCAGCTTTGCAGTGTTTGGCTGCCCCTCTGAGTGCAGCTGGAAAGCCCCGAGTGGTGAAGGGAGCCATTCTTCCCGCCCTCTCCCGGCAACGAGGCCTCAGGGCTGCGGAGGCGGGTCCTGCCGTTCCTTGGAGCCTCTTAGCCGCCACCCTACTCTGGGCCCAAAGAGCCCTTTCTTCTTCAGTTGTCTGTGTCCCAAGAGGGGAGCTGGGCCAAGGGCTGTGAAAGCCTCTCTGTTCTGGCCTCCGGGCCCTGGCTCTCTCTCCTCAGCTCCCTTCTGGGAAAGTGTGACCTCTGTGTCCCCTCTCCACTCTGAAAGGCCCTTTGGGGTGGGGTGGGGTGCAGAGGAGCTAGGAGAGGGAGGCCAAGGCCTTTCTGTTTGCTGGGGAGCCAGGGCCCTGTCCCAGGTCCTCCTCAGGACCTCTCCTATTTCCATGCCCCCATGCCATAATGCCACTGAGTAGTGCCCTCAGAGCCGAGGGTGGCCCTGCTCCCAGCCCGCCTGACCAGGGGGTCCCGGGCCACCTGCCTGCACGATGCTGTGGCCCTCGGGGATGTCCTCGGGGACGCTGGCCTCRTAGCTGCTCTGCAGAAAGATGGGCCGGTTGTCGTTCACGTCCAGGACGGTGACAAACACGGTGGCCGTGCCAGTGCGCCGCTTGCCTACGGGGCCGTTGTCTGTGGGAGTTTTAGGAGGACAGTCAGTGGCTTCCTGAGGGGCAGGCTTCCTGGGCCCATGCACGCTCCTGGGCTCCAGCCAGACCCCCGCCCTGTTCTGCCCCACGGGCCGGGTGTTTGCAATGGTGACTCTTTCCCTTCCCACAATGACACCAACAGCACACAGAAACAGGACCATGCACTGGGCACTGTTCTCACTCAGTCCTCACCCATTTCACAGAGAAGGCAACTGAGGCACCCAGCAGCTGAAATGGCCCAATGCCTGGGGACCTGCAAATGCTATTTTTTTTTTTGGAAAAAGGGTCTTTGAAGATATAATTAAGTTAAGGATCTTGAGAAGAGATCATCCCGGACCTTCAGGTGGGACCTAGACCCAACAATAAGCGTCTTTATGGGAGAGATATGCTGGGGGGGGGGTGCACGCCTGTCTGTAGGGCCAGCACTTGAGGGTCTGAGGAGGAGGACTGCAAGTTTAAGGCCAGCCTGGGCAACTGAGTCCCACCCTGTCTCAAAAAAGAAAAGGGAGAAGGCAGAAGGAGACTTGAGACAGGGAGAAGGTCACGTGGAGATGAAGCCACCAGCCAAGGAGCACCCACAGCCATGGGAAACCGGGCRTCGGGGAAGGGTTCTCCCCTAGAGCCCGTGGAGGGACTGCGGCCCTGCTGACCCCTCCTTGTGAGCTTCCAGACCCAGGAGAGATACATTCTGGTGTTTTAAGCCACCAAATCTGTGATGCAAATGGAGGACACAGACACAGGCTGTGAGATGGCAAAGCCAGCAGCTGGGGGTGAGGAACAGGGAGGGAGCTGTCCTCTGCTCCTGTCCATCGATGATGGGCAGAATGTGGGCCCAGGGACACCCAYGCCCACAATTTCTCAAAAGAAATGGAATATTTGAACTCTTAACAAGAGCTGTTACTGCTATTAAAACCCTGGGGCTTAGAGACGTGCCGCAGGGCAGATCTGGCTGGGGGTGGGGGGGCTCTGCACTCAGGGCTCCTAAACCCAAGGTGTCCATCGGGGACTCTGCAGAACCCTCCCAGCCTGGGGTGGGTGAGGGTGGAAGTCTTGGCCCTGCCCAGGACAGCTGTTGGGTTGTCCTCCCTGGAGGAAGGAGCTGTGCCCAATGTTTGTGACCAGACCAGGGTGGTCACCCCAGGGAGAGGCGTGGCAGCTGGAGTTGGCTGGGAACCAAGGGTGACTCTGCTTCTTCCCCAGGCTAGTGGCCACATGCCGGATGCAGTCACCTCCCCAGGCAGATCCTCTTACCTCCCAAGCTCTTCCCCAGCCTAGCCTCCTGCCACCCCGAGGGGCCTGCTCACTTGCCCTGGCTGGGGACGCTGAGCTGGGAGGCCACCCAGAATGTTGGAGCCTGAGCCCTTTCCTCCTGCTAGCTGATGCCCGAAGCTGCGGCTGGACTCAGAGGGGATGAGGGGTCTTCAAGGGTGGGGTGGCCTCCCCAGGGTGGGCAGAAACAGGACGGGGGTGTCCAGGCAGGTTGGACTGGGGATGAACTGAGCTGGAAAGAGTGAGTCAGACAGCTCATCCCGCCCCCTACCCTCCAGGGCCTTGAAAGGCTCCCAGCTGCCTGAGTTGCTGAGCGCCTCACTGTTGCTGACGCTGGCTTTGAACTAGCGATCCTCCTGCCTCAGCCTCCCAAGCYGCTGGGATTACAGTTGTGCACCTCGGCACCTGGCAAACCGAGAGCTTTCTGATCTCGGTCTTCTCTCTCGAGTGTAGGCGAACCTTGGGAAAACTGCTTCTCTCTCTCTCTCTCTCTCTCTCTCTCTCTTCTCTCTCTCTCTCTCTCAGACCAGGCCCTGAGTGTTCCTCTGAGAGGACCGTCCCCCACTCTCTGACTCTGAGGCCTGGGATTCCGGGCAGGAGGCTCTGCCCCAGCTCCAGGCATGGGCCCGGGGTTTAGGCCTAACCAACCCACGCACCTCAGTCCCCTGGTCACAACAAAGGCTCAGTGACGGCCCTGGGACAGTGGAACTAATCCAAGCTAATCTGCGGCTTCTGCTGGGACCCTGTGTAAGAAGCAAGGTCTGTCTGCCCTGCCTGCGCGTGAACCTGAGAGGGTGGAAAGGCGGGGTGGGTGGGTGGGGCTGCTGCAATGATTTGCCGCCACCAGGTGATGCAGGGCAGGAAGAGCCAGCCAACGTGGATCCCCAGGCCAGATGGTACCACCTGGGCCTGAATCCAGTCGCACC